CATAGAATATTTGAGGAAATGTTCTAAAAGTGAGACTTGCATAAACAGAGGAAGGAGACTATTTTGCCCTTACTAGACAGAGGTAAGAGTGTGTGGGATCTAGATGGAGATGAAGAAGAGAAGAAATAAGTTGACGGAGCTAGAAATTCAGGTCATCATAAGAGAAAGAAAACATAAACACATCAGACCTCCGCACAACAAGTTCTAGAGAGTTATACTCACACTAGTAAAGGAACCATAAGATTGGAATTGAAATACGACCTGGTAATAAAATTTGGCTCACAGAAGTGTTTTAGTAGTTCCCTCGAAAATCTTGAGAAATTAAAATTACAACCCAAGTGTAAAATATTTGCTAATAAATGTCAATAATAATTACATAAATCTTATGATTAAGGAGACATTTGTGGTAGAGTAGGAAGAAAACTAAACTTACAGCCCAGCTAATGAGATAATGTATGCAAAAGTTCAACTATACATTTTAAAGGATTATGTAAACATTAGCTATAATTATTTTTATTATTGATTTGCAACCAACTAGAAATCAAAATCAAAGTTGTATACCTTTCAATAAGTATCCAATCTGAACTGTTTAAAGACAGTATAACTTTAAAGCAGGGTTTCTCAACCTCAGGACTACTGACATTTTGGAATGATCATTCTTTGCTGTGGGGGCTGTCCTATACACATTGTAGGATGCTGAGTAGCATCCTTAACATTTACCCGCTAGGAGACAGTAGAACCACCCTCCCCTAGCCAAGGACAATCAGAAATGTCTCTGAACACTGCCGTACACTGCAAAATTGTCCTTGGTTAAGAACCACTGCTTAAAAGCATAAGAAAAATCAAGAAATTATACTTCGATTCTCTCATACAAACTGATGATGAGAGATGGCCAAGGTGAACTAGAGCTAAGATGTCAAATATAGTAACCAATGGCAACATGTGGCTACCGAGCACTGAAAGTGTGGCTAGTCTGAATTGAGATATGCTGTTAAGTGTAAAACACATACTTGATGTCAAAAACTTAGTATTAAAAGAATGCAAAATATTTTAATTTTTTTGTATTGATTATATATTGAAATATTAATGTTTTAGATATAGTAGGCTAAAATAAAGTACATTAAAATTAACTTCACCTATTTCTTTTTACTTTAAAAAAATGTGGCTATTAGAAAAGCTAAAATTACTACATGGCTTATGTTACATTTCTGTTGGACAGTGCTGAGTTCATGCAGAAAACTATTCCCCACTTCACGCTATCCATTCCAGGCAGCCTTTGATGAGAAGGAAGGGAACTCAAGAGCTCTGTCTTCAGTTTTCTCTTTTCATTATCTCCATTCTCCTTGGATGATCTCCAGGCCCACTGCTTCAATGCAATTACTATTCATACATGACTAATCTCCAAACTATATCTGTAGAACAGAGCTCTACTGAAACACACACACACACACACACATATATATATATATATATATATGTGTGTGTGTCCAACTATCAACTTAACAAGCCAAATTAGACATTTTAGAGGAACCCCAGACTTAAATTACCTTCACTCCCCAAAAGGCTCCTCCTCAAGGATTCTCCATGTTAGTAAATGGCAGTGTTGATGCAGATGCTCAAGCCAGAACCTAAAAGTCATCCATATTCTCTCTTCTCCTTCTTCCCACTTGGAATCTCTTACAAAGTCCTGCTTTGTCTACTTCCTAAATGTTTCTGGAATCCTCCTTTTTCCTACCCCTCTGGCTAGACCGAGTTACCATCATTTTTTCCTGTACCAACTCCCCTGTCCCCCATATACTCTTATTACACCCTATCCTTCCCTATTCAAAACACTTATCCGATAGGTAACTATTTTTTTCTGTGTTATCTTTCCTATTAGAACATTATATTACATAAATAATGCAGTATAGTTTTCTCTTTTTTTTTTAAATAGAGTCTCACTCTGTCACCCAGGCTAAATGGCAATGGTGCGATCTCAGCTCACTGCAACCTCTGCCTCCCAGGTTCAAGAGATTCTCCTGCCTCAGCCTCCTGAATAGCTGAGACTACAGGTGTGTGCAACCCTGCACAGCTAATTTTTGCATTTTTAGTAGAGATGGGGTTTCGCCATGTTGGCAAGGTGGGTCTTGAACTCCTGACCTCAGGTGATCCGCCTGCCTTGGCCTCCCAAAGTGCTGGGATTATAGGCATGAGCCACTGCACCCGGCTCAGTATAGATGTCTTGTTTATTGTTTTATCTCTAGTTCACTGATTGATGAATGAATGAATGAGGAGGGACACAAAGTGTTAACTAACTGCAACTTACTAAAGAACTAGGCTATTAAAACAATGGTTCATTAGCCTATGAGGCTTCGGAAAATATCAGTCCTTATGTCTAAATATCAGTGCTTATGTATTGATACAAGTGCTAGGATTCTAGAAATGGGGAAAAAGTGTTTAGAGACCATGCTTCCTGTATGCTCATCCTTAATAGATCTATCAGGGCCGGGCACGGTGGCTCAAGCCTGTAATCCCAGCACTTTGGGAGGCCGAGGCGGGTGGATCACGAGGTCAAGAGATCGAGACCATCCTGGTCAACATGGTGAAATCCCGTCTCTACTAAAAAAAAAAAAAAAACAAAACATTAGCTGGGCATGGTGGCGCGTGCCTGTAATCCCAGCTACTCAGGAGGTTGAGGCAGGAGAATTGCCTAAACCCAGGAGGTGGAGGTTGCGGTGAGCCGAGATCGCGCCATTGCACTCCAGCCTGGGTAATAAGAGTGAAACTCCGTCTCAAAAAAAAAAAAAAAATAGATCTATCATGCCTAAACTCATATTGAAGCCTTTCCACATAGTGGGCAGGAAAGAACAGCTAAAGAGTACCTTGTACAACACTTCAGCCCTGTGGCAACCCAACGGTCAACATTTTCCATTGCCAATGCCATAGCCCCAGAGCATCTACAGTTTCCATTTTTAAAAGCAGCTAAAACTTATGCAAAAACTAAACACAACTATGATGAATTTAACTATTTCTGAAAGTAAGTCATTCTCCAAGAGCACAAGTTCAAGAGAAGTAGTAAGAATTTCTCCCTCAGTCTCCATTCATTAGGGATTCTTAATCTCCCTTCCAGCCTAAGCCAGCCTTTATCCCCTAGTCCATCGCTAGTTTGAAAGGAGGTTAAGATGAACCATGACAGTTTCCATACTAACTGGTAAGTTATGATTGTTGATTCGGATTTTTACAGATGTGAGTGCTGACTTATGTATTCCAGATCTAGGCTGAGGAAGTCAAGACTTTTTATAAATGTTGGTGTTGCTTTATGTATTTCAGATCTAGGCTAAGAAAAAGGAAATTGTGAAGGACTCCCAGCAATACATATATCTAGAGAAGAACACGCAGACACAAAGGCAAAAACTGGACCTGTGTTTTCATTCATTTTTGCCCACTGGTTTTCCTATAAGTGAGGGAGTAGTGATGTTGGTATATGTGGCATGGTGATGTGTGATACGGACCGGGCAGGAGCTGAGAAAGGATAGCATGTGTAAGCCAGGGTTAAACCTAGGTGCAACAGTACTATGTGGGGCTATACTTGTCTAATTGACTTTTAACAACTGTCTTACCTATTATGGAAACTATGTAAAAGACCATTCTTTTATAGAATGAGGAAGGGAGATAGGGTCTTTATGACTACAGAAATGTTAGAAAATGTTTAAAAAAAAAAAAAGAACTTAATTTATCCTCCTTTTAAAGCCCAACTAAACAAACAATGGCAATTAGCTGGTTCTCACCAATTTTGGCAGTGAGATAAACAGATATAATGAGGAAGTTTAGTTTTTTTTAAACTAGATGCCCTGTTTCTTTCTAGAAATGACTCTCAAAGAGTGGTGGGAAAGCTAACAAAGCCCATTTTTTTCCTATAAAATTTTCTGGTGAAATGTTTCCATAACAAAGTGCAATATTCTGATTATCTAAATAAAAGCATTTGTTCCTGGTAATAAGAGCAAGGTAGCTCAGCTGTAACAAAAAGAGGTATAAGACTTAGAAAAAACAAATGAAAGACTGAACCCCAGCTGAACCACACAATATTTATGTGCCCTTAGGCAAATCACTAATCTCTCTAAACAACACATTTTCACCTGGGGCAGAGCTCCAGAGCAGATGAAATTTGGTCAGGGTGGGTGGGAATCTTATTTTTATTTTTGTTTAAAGCAGAGATATACATGTAGTATATAATCAGATACAGAGTGTATTTGTGGTATTAAAATTTCATGAGAGTTAGATTAGGGGAAATCTCTAAAAAGTCTTCTCGGGGGGTAATAGTGAACAAAAGGCTGAATAAACTATTCTAAGCTTCATTTCCTCAAGTGTATGTAAATGAGTCAGCACCATCCACCTTAAAGGATTATTACCATATAACTACCATCAGCCCTATTATCTGTGGCTCCACATTTATGGATTCAACCAACAGTGAATCAAAAATATTGGGGGAGAAAAGAGACAAATCAAAAATATTGGGGGAAAAAAATTCCACAAAATTCCAAAAAGCAAAACTTGAGTTTACCAGTGTGTCTAATACTACATTAAATCTGCACAAGTGAAGTGATGTGTAGGCATTGCTTTAGGTATTATAAGTAATCCAGAGATGATTTAAAGTATACAGAAGAATGTACATAAGCTATTTGCAAATACTAAAGAATTTTATATAAGGAACTTGAGCATCTGCAGAGGTCCTGGAGCCTACACCCATAGATATTGAGGGATAACTGTATATCTAAATATAGAAAGAGAATAAAAGAAATAACAAGAAAAATAACCAAAACTGTACGTTGTTAATATAGAACTAAAAACAGAGATTCACATGCATAAATTAATGTCATCTAATGATATTAATCATTATCTTATGTAATCATAAGACAATTTTTTCACTAGTCATTTTACCATCTAACATCCAAAGAGACGATGTAAAATCATAAAGTAAAATAATAAATACAAGAATCTATAAATGTGGCAAAAATACAAACCTAAGATGCCGATTTCAAGACCAGCCAAGCCTGTTTCAATTTTATCATAAATGTCTTCTGATGCAAAGTCAACAGCAATGGTTCTTGTCTCCACTTTGAATTTTTCTTCTAGGGAAAGAGAAAACACAAATGGGGAGAGATAGGGAAAATTAATACATGGCAATGAGAACTAAAGCATTTGATAGAATTATCCTTTCAGATCTTTCCTCCCACCCAATTTGATATAAAAGTTAGACCAGGATAATTTTAAGCAATCATGAGCCACCTAAGAGATGATATAGAGGCAACACATTAGTTCTGCAATAAAAATTCCAATGTCATCACAGACAGCTGGCTGAACGCTCCTTAATCAGCTCTTTTGTAAATCAATAATGAGAACTACTTTTAGACCCGTAGGTACAAATAATACAACATAATTCATATCATAAAGTTATATACTTTTTTTCTTTTTTGAGGTGGACTCTCACTCTCTCACCCAGGCTGGAGTGCAGTATCATATTCTTGGCTCACTACAACCTCTGCCTCCTGGGTTCAAGTGATTCTCCTGCCTCAGCCTCCTAAGCAGCTGGGATTACAGGCGCACACCACCACGCCTGGCTAATTTTTCTATTTTTAGTAGAGATGGGGTTTTACCATGTTGGTCAGGCTGCCCTCAAACTCCTGACCTTGTGATCCACCCACCTTGGCCTCCCAAAATGCTGGGATTACAGGCGTGAGCCACTGTACCTGGCCAAAGTTATATACTCTTTAAATATTAATTGTAAATTGCTGCTTTGAAACTTCAGGAAGAAGTCTTTGTGTTGTAAAATATTTTAAAGTGTGATATATTAAAACAAAAAGTCTATCTGATCACAGTGGAAATAAATGAATGTGGTCTTATTATAATTTGGGAGCTTAGTTAATAGTTAACAGTCACTACATTTTAAAATCCACACAAAATGCGCAGTAATAAAGCCATAAAGTGACACAAGAAAGACCTCAGTGTTCTACTTTGCACAAGTCTCCAAACAGTGCTGATGAAAATAACGGCTTCAGAAATGAGACCCTGGAGAAACAAATCTCATCTGAATTAATGCAGAATATTTACTTTTGCCTTCACTAGTCCGCCCCTGTAAAGACAGCACAGGCTTTGAGGTCACACAGACATGAGCACCAATTTCATTTCCACACATATTTGCAAAATGTGTGACTTTAAGCAAGTCACACATCCTCTTTGAGTCTCAGCCTCCTCTGGTGAAAATGAAAGTAACTCTACCCAACTGATGATGTAAGGCTCACATGATACCTATGGTATGCAGACAGCATTCTATAAAGGTTAGTCTCTCTCTCTCTCCTCAACCATCTCCATTCGGTTTACTAGTCCAGTGAACTAGAAATGTTCATTCTTTAGAACTTGCTGAGAATTCAAAAGAATTCATTTTAAAATCCTGCTTCCAAAAATAAATCTTTCTTCAGTCAAAGTCAATGTCAGCTCATCACAGAGCATGCAGGATTAATCCTCGTAGGAAGTATCTGTTCCTGACCTAACAGGATTTCTGTCTAAAGCTAAAGAGCTGGTTCATGAGAGATCTGATTGTGAGTTAGACTCAATGAAAAGTACTGACCTAGGTAGAAATCCATGAATAAACTGAAGAGAAGAATTGACCCAGAAAATACCTTATTTGGTATTAACGGTATATTACTTTTCTAATATAAATGAGTTATATGTGTGTTCATGTAATGGGAAGTCAGACACAGAGCTGTGATTTCACAATAGCGAGTCCAACATGTCTACTATAAACGTTTCACAGAATTTACCACCAGTAAATAAAGAACGCTGACTTTGTTATAGCCACAGATTCACAAGGGGAAAAAAAAGCCCCAAACAAAAGGTTAAAAATACCTTTTATTAAAATTAAAAACTTCATTCAAGAATAACATAAGGTAAATTTATCTATTTATTTTGAAAAGCAAAGTATTTTTCCACACTAGTACTATGTATTGACATTGAGGAAATTTTCTATCAGTAAGAGCCACCTCACAACTCCTGAACCAAATTCACTCTTCAGTAACTCACAGGATTTGCTGAATGTACATACTCACATTGTAGAGTTTTGTTTAGATATGTTGCTAAAAAGATTCAATGACACTTTCACAAAGAACGTTATTTAGTAACAAACCAAAGCGAGCTCTTCTTTGTATTCATATTAGGATAGGCAAAATGGCTTCTGCTACAAGTTTTTCAGGTTAATTAAAATTTCTGAACTTGTTCCTAGGTTTCCAAGAATCATGTTCTAATAGAGTGAACACTGCCTTTTTTTACAAAAACAATTTTTCTTCATTGCCTCTATTGTGAGCTTTTCTTTTTTTTTTTTTTTAAGAGATGGGGTCTCAAGCCTGGGCTCAAGCATTCTTGGTACTGGGCCTACAGGCACACCTCATTGTTCCCAGCTTTTTCTTTTTCACATAGGTCAGACCATCATACCCACCTCTTCACAAACCTCCAGAGATTTCCATCTCACTTAGAGTAAGAGTCAAAGGCTTTGGCAACAGTCTAATAAACAGCGTGAGTTTGTTAGGCTGAATTCACCTCCATCTACTCTCCCCATTGCTCCTCAGTTCTAGCCATAGGAGACCCTAGCAGGTGTTTAAAGACAGAATGTTGTCCATGTACACTCAGGACTTACACTTACAGTTTCCTATGTTTGGAATGCTCTTCCACAACCCTTGTCTCTGTTGGGCCCTTGAGCAAATGTTACCTTCTCAGAGAAGCCTGCCTTGCCCACCCTTTATTAAATGCAACCACCCTCCCCTGGCACTCCTCATGCCCTTCCCTGCTTTATTTTATTCCATTGTCCTTGCTGCCTGCTAATATACTATGTAGTGTATTTTAATAACATACATGCTTGTCTATATGTCCTGACTCGAATTAAGCTTCAAAAAGACAAGGACTTGGTTCGGTTTTGTTCAGTTGCTCAACAATGGCACAAATGATTTGGGATCTTCCCACCCTTCTCTCTTTTCCCTTAGGCTGGCTCCTTTTCTGAAGGGCCATTGCCATTCCATGCATCGCATGTAGGTAACAGTGCTTGGAGGCAGAAATCGTATGTCTCTGTGATATGTTCCTTTTATACAGAGAACGATTCCCCCAGAAGAATCCAGCAGATTCCCACTATGTTTCCTTTCCAAGGACTATGGTACATGCATGTTCTTGACCAGGGGCATGGGTGGGCTTTCAGAATTCCATGAACTGCCTCCACCTCCACCATCAAGTTCTGTGAATCAAAAATACCTGTGCATATATAAGAATAGGACAGGAACTGTCTCTTTCTGGGCCAAGGCAATTGAATAAGAATTATAATGGAGGTTCTAGAAGGCAAAGGTGGGAGGTAGCTGGCCTATGCTAAAAAGGAAAAGCCGAGAATGATGGTGTGTACCTGTAGTCCCAGCTACTCAGGAGGCTTGGGCTCGGAACCTGGAAACCAGCCTGGAAGTAAATCTAGGCATTTCCCCCTTCCCATATCCTATTACGCTGCATGAGACCCTGCCAACAGAAGGCAAGACAAATGAGCAAGAATCCTCTAACTTTAAACATCAGCACAGGGTGAATTAAGCACTCAGAACAGAAGCAGATACCAGATACTTATAACACAGCCCTCATTTCCACCTTCACACCTCCCCAACCTGTTTTTTCATAAAACCACCAGTCTACAACTCAGCAACAGCCCACTGCCAGGGAAGAATAAGCATTTACCAAAGCCTTTGGAGTAATACTTTTTCTGGGACTCTGATCCTTGCCCCATTACAAAGATCTAAGAAATGACACAGCCTCTATCTCTTTTCCAGAGTAGGAGTTGAAATAAGTTAAAATCAATGTCCTACAAGTGTGTAGGATAAAGATACGCAAACAATTGGATTTGGAGGTTGCAATGAACATGATATGAACCACCCAATTCCCACTTCAAGGAAACTCATGTTGCCCTAACTGTGAGAGTATCACCAGCAGACAGCTTTTGGGTGTCAGCCTCAACTGCAGAGTTGCCCTGTCCAAGATCACGTTCTTTCCAGAGCATCCTCATCCAATGGCTGATCCAGGTGAAGGTTTAAAGTGATTAAACAGCTTATACCTACAAGATTCTGATTCCAGAAGTACAGTCTGTTTATGATATTATTTTTCTGTTCTTTCACAATGCCCTCATTTTAGTTATTCGAGCTCTAAAATGGGTTTTGATGCTTCTAGGAGTGCAAGTCTACGTCACTGTTCTTTGTCTTAAAAAATTTATTACTTATCCTCACCTGTTTCATCTCAGTTTTTATTGGGATTACATTAAACATTTCAATTAAATTTATGAATGACAATGTGGCATTACCTCTGGGTTCTCCATTTATTCAAATGTTTTGTTTAAATGTCTCACAGTAAAATCTTGTGGTTGCAAATTCTTAAAGAATTCCATGATGAGAAGAGTATACACCATCATAAACAGATACTCAATGCTATTGATGTCTATTGACAAGTCATTCAGTATTTGAAATTGGATGAGCTGGCATCCCACTATTTACATTTGTGGCTCCATATAGCCATGACCCATCCCAACTTTATATCCCAGATGGTCTTGGCCCCACTGCCTCTCAGCCTAGTGGCTAAGACCAAACACCAAGAAGAAAAAAACTCTGGTCTGAACTGCTCAAGGCAATCCACTAACTAGAAATTGAGGCAGAAATGCAACTCTGGTATAAAAAGTGGGGAATATGAAGCTAAGCTGCACTGATACTATTCATTCCCTTTCTATCTACTGTTCCACTGAAAACCAGATAACTACAACTGTAGAAAAACAGAGAGCAAACATTATGTATAACTATAGTGCTATAGAGTAATGAATCTCCTCATTGGCCTCAAGCCATTCCATCACCTGCAAAAGCATATGCCCCACTCCTCCAGTCACACTGCTGTTTAAGACACAGAGTATCCAGAATTCATTCAAGGTCAAGGCTGGAATTGACAGAAAAGGAACTGAACCCACAGATAGTCTCAAGATGCTGCTAAAAACACTTCTTAATATCAAAACTGACACATTTTTAGGTACAAGCCAAGAAAGGTGATAAATATATTCAGAATGGCCTTATATTTA